TCTCTTACCGTGCTTGGAGAGTGGTGAGTCAATTTGGACGAGGTGAAGGCAAGGGAACAGCAACAGCGCTAACACCGCACAAGGCTCATCAACTACTTACCCGCGGATATCGCCCTGCTCATCCAGACGTTGAAGATCGATATCCCGAACAGGGTCAAGAAGACCAAGAAGGAACTCGATGCCGGCATCCGACATGAGCGCCCCACAGTCTTCGGTTCCCTTTTGGAGTCGGAACTCTCCATGCTCGAAAAGGAGCCCGAGCGATTGGGCGACGAAGCCACGGCCGTTGTCGGCGCCGGCACCGAGACCACCAGCTGGGCCCTGTCCGTCATGACATATCACCTCTTGACTAAGCCCGAACTCCTCGCGAAGCTCCGCAAGGAACTCGACGGGGTTGTCACTGATCCTCAGCACCTCCCATCCTGGACGTCACTGGAGACCCTTCCCTACCTCGGTGCGGTCATCCAGGAGGGTCTTCGTCTGTCTTACGGCGTCTCTGCGCGCACTGCTCGCATCCCTACTCAGGAGAACCTGGTCTACCGCGGCGAGTTCAACAAGAAGCCCGTCGAGTACGTCATCCCCCGCGGCTTCGCCATTGGCATGTCCGCTGCTATCACCCATCACGAGGAGGGCGTCTTCCCCGATTCCTACCAGTTTATCCCCGAGCGTTGGCTGGATGAGAAGAACAACCGCAGAAAAGACGTCGAGAAGGGCATGCTGGCTTTCTCCAAGGGCAGCAGATCTTGTTTGGGAATGAAGTGAGTGATGACTACCCGAAAATCCGTCTGAGAGAGATTCGCTGACACGGCACCTTTTAGCTTGGCTTTGTGTGAGATGAACCTGTGTTTGACTGCTCTTGTCCTGCGCGTCCTGCCTCGTATGAAACTATTCGACACCGAGGACGAAGATGTCGCATACGATCACGACATGTTCGTGCCGGAGCCAGCCAAGGGTACCACGGGAGTCAGAGTGAAGGTTGTTTAGCACAACATTGCAACTATTTAATGACGTGTGTTCGAATGGGAGCAGGTAGGCCAAAAGACATCCTAACTCCGATGTTTCTGATTTGCTCTACGATTGTAGAAGTTTGTGAAGTATGTCCTGTTTCTCGCAATAACCGTGCGAATTGAGGACATTCTTCACGAACTTATACAATCGCGGAGTGAACCAAATCATCTGGGCTAGGATGTCCAGGCACTTGCTCCTCCGGTCCTACTAGCTCGTCCTTTAGCTCAGAAACTTAATTCAAAATATTCCAAAGAGCCTCCAGAGTGGATATCTTCTCGGCTCGCTTGGGATTATGACGGCTATGATCCCAGTGGATTATCCCAAGTAATCCGGCCCGTTCGTCCCTTTCTGGCTCGAGTACGACCCAGACAGCGTCGCAACAGCCTCATCAGGACGAATTCGGCTCGTCTTATTCTCGTACGAGATCATGATGCGGAGTACGGTTGCCTTGCTCCTACGCAAGAAAGACTTTTTGTCCCGACGATCCTAATTGTGGCTCCTCACGGCTCGTTGGGATCTGCGTGTTTCAACCCCCAAAGTCGACATGGCCCGAATGGATTCGACCTCCTGCTAGCGCGGAATCGCCATGCGTCTTCCTGGCTGCCGCGATTGGGCGGCCGTCAGACGCATTCCCTGCGTCGTTCGACCAACTTCGGCCGCCGAAGATGTCTTCTGCCTAGTGTGGTGGAGTTGGCCTCGTAGACCTGCAACGGACCCCTGGGCTCGAGCTAGCGTGCCGAGCAAGTGCGGCCGACTTCCTGGTCAACGAAACTCCGCTACTCGGCTTCCGGCGTCTTCATTGGCTTCGGGAAAGTGGGCATCGCAGAACGGATCCAGAACGTCTGTCTTGCTATTCCAGACCATCCGGACCGGTCAAGCCCCTCTCTTGGCCACTGGACTGGACAGTTCAAGGCAGAGTCTTTGATGGAATACGGACCCTGTTGGTAATTCTCCATTGACAGTCCCAACAGCCAATGTCTGGGGTTACATCCATGAAACCCATCCCTAGTTCTGATCTTTTCTGGCACCAAGCCGCACGCCGCGTGCACCGGCGCCGTTTCCCCTGCAGATTAGATCTGCCGCACTCGCAGCCCCCAATTTGATATTCGCGGCTTAAAAGTAGACGGGACGCCTCTTTCCAAAAGTCTGGCCAGGTATTTCCTCGTGGCGTGACGGTGTGCTCACGGAAGGACTGATCAACACGAGCCGACAACATGTGGTCAACAACCCTCGACCCCGATTTGCGAATGCTCCCGCCAACGGGCCTCCCGCTCGCCATCATCATCATATCATGCGTCTTCCTCGTCTTCTCGGTAATCTGCGTCGGGCTACGTACCCGCATCCGCCTTATCGAACGCACCTTTGGACTTGACGATGGCCTCATGGCGGCAGGAACGGTATGGGATATCTCAAAAGAAGCACGGAGAGAGTCAGAAAGAGTGAAGGCTTACGATGGTTGATAGGTTGTTTACGTGGCGGTTGTTGGACTTGCTGTCTACGGTTGCTTCGTTGGACTCGGGACTCTCGAGGAGAACTTGAACGCATGGCTGTGGGCGGAGGGCCTCAAGATCTACGTTGTCTGGATTCTCGTCTACGTTGGCGCCCTTGCGCTCGTCAAGTCTTCAGTCTGCCTCACGATTCAACGCATTGTCACGACAGATCGAGCTCTCACCATCACGATTTGGGTTCTTTTGGGCCTCACGTGGGCGTCTTTCTTCATCACGTTCATCGGAACCCTTCTCTACTGCCGACCTGTCGAAGCTCTGTGGACGCCAACGATGATTCTGTCAGGCGAAGGAACCTGCGCTGATGTCGACGTCCTCATTGCCATCGGGCATGTGGCCACCTCTTCCGCAATCGTCACAGATCTCGCTCTTGTCGTCGTCCCTGCTGTCATTCTGTGGGGAACGCAGATGAAGACGCAGACCAAGCTGCAGGTCTTTGGACTGTTGTCCTTCGCTTCTGTGTAAGTGCTCCCGCCGATTGCATCTTGCATTGCATGACACCTAACTTGGTTTCAGGGCGTCGATCATCACGATGGTCCGCATTCCTTACGTCAACCACTTCAAGGCCCAGACGAACCTCCAGTGTAGGTTTCCATCCACGATACCCATCCCCTTCATCAAGCTGACACGATCCAGTCTGGGTCGCCCACACAGTCCTCTGCTCCAACGTCGAGACAGGCATCGGCTGCATCGCCTCCTCGGTCCCTTCTTTGCGCCGCTTCATCGCACGCACACGCGGCACGACCGCCGAGGATTCCGCACCCAGCAAAAGCAACGGAACGGGTGGGCTCTTCACGTTTGGCAGCAAGCCTGTCGAAAGGAGCCGGGATCCGTACCGCAACCCAACAGATGTGGGCTTCAGTCTCGCCACTGTGCATGGGAGGGGCGATGACAGCTGGGAACGCCTCCAGGATGGCGATTCCGACAAAGGAGACCTGTTGCCGAACAACCAAAAGGGCGGCGGTATCCACAAGCAGTTCACATACACGGTCGATGTCGAGACGGACTCCAGTCTGAAGACTGGCCGGTCTGGATCGAGCCGGTAGGGAACCGATGTCGAGCCGGTGTCTGTTCGCGCTCAGATTAGAGCACTAATGTATAAAATCTTGTACAATATCCATGAGTGATGCAACGTTTCTCCATGCCTGTGTGCGCGTTTTCCAGACGTGCCAGGATGGAATTAATCAAAATAAGGCATTGACCACACGGCATAAAAAAGAGAGGCCTCTCGGTGGCCAATTAGGTGGCGAGACTGTTACGTATTAGTATCTTGTGGGCTTTTTTGGCAATCACCTCCACATGGCCAGGGGGGCAGAAGAGGCAGAAAATCCATCATTCCGCCCTCCGCGGCCGATGGATCTCTCTTCAACACGTGTGAGACCTTGTCCTGGCCCCTGGCGCTTTGACTCTTCCAGCCGTACTGAACACCGCCCCAGCGCCATCGGGAATGTGGGCTGGGAGACCGATCGTGACTTGACTCGTATTTGACCCAAACCCACACAGAATTATCGAATAGAGTCGCGGCGAGTTGTCCGAGAGGCTCGTCATCGTCGCCATCGTTGCCCATAGTCAGTGCGAACAGTGCAGATCCGATAGCCGACCCAAGACTTTCGCACTGGAGTCACGAGCCCTTGTCCAGTAACAACTTGGAGTTTATTCATTGCGACGTTAGCAAGATTATGAGAACCGCAACATTAGGCAAAATATCCCTTTTGGAAATGCCAAGGAGACATTGAAGATTCACATGCCACCGGAGAAATTCATGCAAGATGACAGTTTTGACACGAACCAGATAAACTAACGCAAGTATGAAATTGCCAACCGTCTGAAAAGAAACCCTTCAAAACTTGGCGGGCTAGACGAGGCCTTCATCTCCCGTGAACCCTAGGCGAACCAATATTGACGGCCGTGATGACGGCGACGTGCATCGCCCCTTCCCGCATACGGTAAGTCTTCTCCCCTGAGGGCGGGGAACCCAACATGCGGCATGGGTATTTATAAGAATCCTCAAATGTCGGTTCATCAAGCTACCGAAACTCAACTTTGGCCCGACATATTCTCCGAAAATCCTCAGCGGTGTGAATGTTTACAGTTTGCGATCCAAATGAAATGTTTCTTGGCGGATCACTGCGTCGGCGAATTGACTGGTTTTCGGCCCCCACGTGAAGCCGGGCCAAGTCGACCGTTCAGTCAACGTGTGTGAATGTCGCCGAACCAATGGCGGGTGCTGGACGGCAGGACCAGTAAGACTAACCCTGTTGGTCGGAAAACATGCGCGTTAGAGGACGAATGTGACGATCTCCGCGTGAATGAGCAGAGACCGGCAGGAATCCAAATGCAACTTCCCCTCACTTCATGTTGTGAACTGATGTCACCAAAAGAATGCTCTGATGAAGAGAGATATAAATACAATAGAAAAAGAGTCAAAATGAAGATCATGGCGCTGAAGCCAGCCTGGCCTCTTGCACTTGATCCGTGACAGGCATAATGAAGCCTGTCTCAGCCGCTGCGGTGCTCCTCGTAGCTATCGGCGCATACGCCCAATCATCCGACCTCTTCACTCGGTTCATGACGTACAATATCCGCTGGGCAACACCCACTCCGGGTACCAATGAAGCACTTTGGTCCGTCCGTCGGCCCCGTCTCACGGCGCAGCTCAACTACGAAACCGCCGGACGGCCCGAGTCCCTCGTCTGCATGCAGGAGGTGGTTGAAGAACAACTGCTGGACATTGCCGAAGACCTCGGCACCTCTTGGTCCCACATCGGTGTCGGCCGCGATGACGGCGTTGCGGCGGGGGAGTTCTCTCCGATCTTCTATCAGCCGGGAGCTTGGGAGCTTGTGGAGAACCGCACATGTTGGTTGAGTGACACTCCGGATGTCGCCGGCTCTGTGGGCTGGGATGCGGCTCTCCCGCGAATTGTCACAGTCGCCTCATTTACCCAAGTCGGCTCTGGCTTTCCTCTGGTTTTCATGTGCACCCATTTCGACCACGTTGGTCAAACTGCACGCGAAAATAGCGCGGCATTCCTGGTTGGTCTCGCCAAAGAATGGGAGTCTTCCGCGAACGAGGTGACGCCTGTGTTTCTGGGAGGCGATTTGAACATTGAGCCTGACAATCCCGCCTACCAGACATTGGTTGCAGAGGGTAACATGCACGACACACTTGACGTGACACCTGAGGCGCATCAAGTTGGGTACTCAAAAACTTACACGGCGTTTACGGATGACGAATCGGACGATAGCCTTATCGATCATTTGTTTGTCAGGGATCCAACTGTCAGAGGGATGGAATTTCTTAGCCACGCAGTGTTGCCGAACAAATTTGACGACGGGCTGTATGTATCTGACCACCGTCCTGTCGTCACTGATGTCAAGTTTGGGGCTGCATAGTTGAGGTTTCGCAGATCCACAGTGTTAAAAGATAAATGTGCAACTCAATCTCCAAGTCTTGACTTTATGGGTGTGAGTGAAATTCGTGAACCGTGATCTCCAATCAATCTGACTGCGTCCTTGTTATGGTGGGAATGAATGACGTCAGTGTCACAAAGGTTCCATACCGTTGGGATATTCTCAGCGGGAAGTTCATCCCATTGGTTTGCCCCGACGGCGATACCCGAGAACTAATTGCTGCGTCAATGGCTATTGACGGTAAACATTCGGCTCTTGTCCAGCAGAAAGCATCATGCTGGTATTGAATGCTGCGTGACATTCGATTTGCGGCAACTTGAAATTTGGCTGTGCATGTTGCCTGCATGAAGTCCACCAAACCGGTGGGATACCAAGTATCTATACCCCGTTCAATCTATCTGACTCAATATTGCCCAAGACCTTTCCAACCAGCTTGCGTTCCGCGGCTGCAACTCTCTAAAATCGTATGAGGCGGCTCGAAGATCCGAGGAATCGTGAGATCAAATTCGATCAAGTGACAACATCCCACTTACACACCAGGAAACTGCAAGCGGGCTACGAATACATGCTGCATTGTCTGTAGATAAATAATCTCAAAGCGCCCTTCATCCAGATCAACTCACAGCTTCAACTATCAATCTCAACTCAATTCCTCAATCTCTTCGCCAATCTTCCATCAAATACCGCAATTATGCAGATCAGCTTCTCTACCATCCGTCCTGGCCCTCGGCCTTGCTTCCACCGCCGTCGCTTCCCACGCTTACTTCGTCAACGAGCACGCTTGCAGTAACTTCTGTCAGGGTTGCACCAACAGCGGAACCGGCAACCTCCCTTACTGCTGCGATTACTAGATCTTAGTGAGTTCACGAACACGTCTCAATCCCAATGCATCGAGCTCATCAGTTTCAAAACAGCGACTGGCGGACTGATTATTATTCAATATTCATTGAAAGAATCCGGTCCGCCGTTCCAGATCGCCAATGATATGTGGCTGGTAAGCCGGTGAATGGGGCGTTGTCCAAATCGTGAGGGAAGCAATTGGCGGATTGTTTACAGCGCCAAGAACGCAGAGGCTTGGATTGACAGCGTCATTCACTTCATCACTCAAGGTGTGGCACGTGGCGGCTTTGGTAATGTCTCATCTTACCGGCGCAGTGCCGGGTTGTATTTGAGAGTGCGAATGAGTACAGGACTTCGCTGTTCCGACTTTGTCTGCGCTCAATGCCTGCCTGGATAGGTAGCGAAGAGAATAAACTTCTAAGGTCAGAGGGCCGCTATTGGCAAAAAACTATTCCATCACAGACTTCTTCCTCAAATTTGAGAAAGCGCTTGTTGTGACAAAACAATGTCAACCGCTTATTTTCAACACTTGGTAGTGCGATACGCCGATAACGCCGAACACGCCACGGAATGTTTCCAGATCGCTGGGTTGAAATTGTGTTATCGTTCCCGCTAATGCGCAGAATGTCTGCCCTCTGAATGGGTGTCTCACAGTTGATGGCAGCTTATTCACCGCAAACGGCAGTGCCACCAGCGAGCCACATGCTAGTTTGCAGCAGCGGCGAGTCTCGCCGAGCATTGGAATGCCGCCAATATGGAATTCTGATTGAAAATGGCTTTTCGCCTGTAAACATAAACGCCTCGACCCCCCTTGAGGCACCCCCTTCCACCCTGAAAAGCCGGGCCTATTACCCGAAAGAAAATCATTGGCACCTGCTGAATACGTCGCGATCGATGCGTCCCCGTGGATCTCATGTTTTATGATGGCCTCCCCAGCTGTGCCGTAAGTTGAAAGTCCATTACCCCTCTGTCACGTGCAGTTCTAACATTAATATGTCCTTTTGCAGATAGCATGCGCCAATCGGACCGTCGATCTGACCCCTTGCGGTCCCAACAACATCACAGCTTCATGTCTATGCCCAGAAGTGGAGTGGCAGTATGCTTTCGGTGGTTGTGTGATGAAGGAGTGTCTTCCTTTTGATGGACTGAGTGAGACCCAACCCTGACATAGCCATCATGGAAAATCCCTTTCGAGAAGTATGCGAAGCTGATAAAGCTACCAGCTGCTCGCAACGTAACTCTCACGCATTGTGGGGTTCCACCACGCCAGAGTGCAGAAGCTCTCGGAGCAAGCGCGTTTCTACTAGCCTTGACTGTGGTTGTGTTTTGCTTGCGAATGCTCGCTAAGGCAATCAGATTGACACCATGGGGAGCCGATGATATTACTATCGTGATCGGATTCGTACGCTGACTGCCATCACCTCATCGACTGTTACGACTTTGACTGATGTGAAGATAATCTCACCAGGCAGCAGCAATCATATTCGGTGTCATGAAATTCATAGGTGACTCTTGACCTAACCAGTGGGAAACGAGACAAATCAAAATATCACTCACGCTTTTTACTAGGGCGCAGATTCGGGTTTGGGCTTGATTTCTGGACACTGAGATACGACACTATTGTCGGATTCATGAAGGTGAGCCTGAGCTGATTCGTCCATGATTGGGTTGAATCGCATTGATTCATGGGCATGGGAACGCTAACTTTTGTCAGATATTCTATGCGTTCGCTAACGTATACACGCTCGCAATAGCCGCTCTCAAAGCAACAATTTTGTTCTTCTACCAGAGAGTCTTTGGCGGGTTCAGCTCGCCGTTCACCACCATACTGTGGTGTACCCAAGCGTTCAACCTGTTAACGTTCATTGGTTTCACGATCCCAACAGTAGCACAGTGTCAACCACTCAGTTTCGCATGGGAGGGATGGGATGGCCGCCATGAAGGATTCTGCCTCAATATCCTCTCCATGATCGTGACTCATGCAGCTGTCAACATCGGTCTGGACGTATGGATGCTGGTGCTGCCGTCAACCCAGGTGCTTCGGCTGAACTTGAGATGGCGAGAAAAGGCTGAGATTTTGGCCATGTTTGGCATCGGAATTTTGTGAGTCAGACCAGCTTGTCTTCCCATGGGACTAATACGAGGAGTCGCACGTAACTTTTAGAACTAACAGGAATCGTTATACAGCATCACAGCCGTTAGCATCATTCGACTAACTGTATTATTGAGCCTCCGGAATTTCGAAAACCCCACACGTTAGTCATTCCGCACCTCAAAACTCATGAAAGTGAATCGTTCAAGTGGACTGACTTGCTACCACCCGTCAGAGGATGCGTTCTACCTTCACATGTGGAGCTACATTGAGATATCTGTCGGCGTGATAGTTGCCAGCCTACCTGCTACGCGACAGCTGCTACGCCACTGGATTCCAAAATCATTTCGAGCCATAGGGCGAGAGGCACCAAGGAATGTGGCCCAAGCACGGCTAGGCGATTCAACGAGAACGCTAAGGAATACACCAATTACGGGTCTTAGCGTGGATCAGGCGAGCCCAACGAGTGTGGAAGGGTTCGCGGCATCAAGTCCTCATGGGGATGATGCAAGGCAAATTATGTCATCCTTATAGTGTAACAGTTATCTAGTGAAGCTCTCCATGGTGGTGACCGTACACTACATTTGGTGACACCCAGGTGAAGATGAAGTTAGAAAGCAAAGTGAGAAAGTTGGAGAAAGCTGGTCAGTGTTTTGCGTTGGTGAAGTGGGCTACGGCTTAACGTCCGGGGCGCGTCAGCTGCGGGTAAACCTCGCTATTCAGGCATATGTACTGTGTGACTAAACAGCGGCCAAGATCGAGTAGGACAGAATCAATGAATAAAATGATGCAAAGGTCCTTTTGCCGTCCGACGCGCAAGTCAGTTGGTCAACTGTTTTCCTTGCATACAGGCCGTAACGCACGTTACATATCGTACATGATGTTTAAATGGTAGCAGCAGGCCAGTCGTTGTAGTTCTCATCCACAGTCTGATAGGGACCGTAATGAACCGTGTTTCCCCGATCGTTTCCAGCAAATGGAACACCATGCATGATTCTGTTAATCACGTCCTAGTAGACCATTAGATGGCGGTAATAAAAAGAAGAAGCGGAATCTTACGGGATTATAGATAAATGGTCGACCGAACGTGACCATGTCCAATTTCTGCTCCCTCACGAGACGATCAGCCTCCTCAACGGTGTAATCATGATTGGCCATCAGCATCGAAGGGCTACCGGCGAACTTGACAAGCTTCCCAAAGTCGAGCACGGGATCATATCCCTCGGGCAAAGGATAACCCTTTGGTCGTTTGCTGGCAACAAAGAAGTCGCCAGTGCCGATGGTAACGTCAGTTCCCCTGCGAGATATGTTGATGATTCCGACTCTGCCATTGACAAGTTCCTTGATCAGGTGATTGTACGTCTCCTTCATTTCCTCAAACGTAACGAACGAGTCGTTGACAGTGTCGGTGGGGTTAATCTTGACACACACGAATTCCGGGCCGCCGAAGACCTCGGCAGCCGCCTCGGTAAGTTCGATCAAGAAACGGCATCTGTTAGTGACCGAGCCGCCATAGTCGTCGGTTCTCTTGTTGGCGCGACTGACTCCAAGATTAGGCTGTGTCGACGAGAGAGACATGGTTGAGAAACTTACCTGTTAAGGAATTGCTGGGGTAAATACCCGCTGCGAATGTTTAGTATCAACAGCAATCTATCGTTCGCTCAGTATTTAGGATTACGTACCCTTGAGATAACAACTCGACGCCGTCAAAACCAGCTTGTCTTGCCAGCTCAAATGAGCGTCTGTACGTTGCAATGACGTCTTTGGGATCGTCGATTGCCAAGACATTGTGAGTGTGCCCCTGCAATGCGCATTGATAAGTATTGGCCTGGTCTTATAATGTGTTCTGGTTGGACATTACTCACTGGCTGGCCGGGCAAGTCGCGATACTTTCCGTCCATCGCCGGGACTGCAGAAGGTGCCAGGACAACACCACCATGCTTCTTCATGATTGGCATCTCATCATGCTGGCAGCGCCCTGCATGCCATGCCTGGAAGAAGATTTTGCCTCCCACCTCGTGAACGGCGTCGGTAACCACTTGCCAAGCCTTCGAGTGCTCAGATGTGATCATGAAGGGAGAAGAGCTCCAGTCACAACCGGTCCAGTCCACAAACGTACCCTCGTTGACGATCAGACCAGCTCCGTCCCTCGCTCTGTCCACGTAGTGCTGGACTTGCGCTGGGCCCGGCTTGCCATCGTCGATGCAGCGATTTCGGGTCATAGAACCCATGACAACGCGGTTACGAAGGGATAGCTTGCCGCCGATGATGATTGGTTCCAGTAGAGCTGACATTTTGAGGGTATAGGATGCTGACGTTCCAACTTCAGGAAAGAGATAAAATGTTCGGTAAGGTAAGAGAGAATGGTTGAATTGTCTTGGGACAAGAAACCTGAAATTTATACCTGGGCTTGCAGGAAAGGTTTGGTTCTCGAGTAGATAGACGTAGATTCCATGTTTTAGTCAAAGAGGACGAACGTGTACTAGAACCACTACGATCTCCTGTTCTTCAAAAAGTCATATCCACATGTCCATCCATACCCAGAGCACACACTGTCCAGACATAGTGTGCATCCACATCAAGTAGCCAATCAAAGAACAAGATCTCCGATCCCTGTCCGCAGCCGCGTCGTGGCGGGGCCGACAGAATTTTCCATCAACCAATGAATTCCTCCCGACTCCGAACCTTCGGACGGCTTATAAAGCCAACTTCGCACCTCCCGAATTCTCAGTCTCCGTAGGAATCACCAGTCCGCCGAGAGAAGATCGCATGAGAAGATGAAAACCCTGAGGGCTTGTCGTCAGTGTCGCGAGTCCAAGCGAAGATGTTCCCGACACGACCCCTGCGAAGCGTGTGAGGCTTGCCGTAACCGAGGGTTGCAATGCAGTGCGGCAACCTCCGCCGTAAAACCAATCTCAAGAAACGATCCAGGGCCTCTCAGCGTGGAGAGTACACGAGGCGCGCAGTCCGTTACAGGTCTGCCCCAGGGTATCGTCACGGAATTAGTCGAAAATTATCTCACAAGAGTCCACGGCGGTCCCCACTGGATCTTCCACCCGATGACTCTTCGGTCCCAGGTCTCCGAAGGGTCTGTGAAGGATGCGTTACTATACGCAATTTGCGCGATAGGCTCCAAGTTTTCTCTCGACGCCAAAATCCGTGCCGAAGAGGACCGGCTGGCGGCAGGGGCGAAGCATTCATTGCACGCGGATCTAGAAAATATCTGCATTGACAACGTGCAGGTTTGTATTCTTCTTGCGACGCTGAGCTCCGGGAACTGCCAGCCGTCAACAGAGGCTCTCTATGTCGGTGAGTTGCGCAACCCATCTAGTTTCTAATAGTTTATTGCCAAACGACGACGTACTTACATTTTGGATCTACCCCTAAAGGCATCGCGATCAGCATGATCGACATATTGAAGCTCAAATGGTCACGGACTGCATATCCGACCTGTTCCATCGCGGAAGAAACCGAACGGAGGGTTTTGTGGTCCTTGTACATTGCAGAACGGTGGTGCTCCTCGGGGCTCGGTCTCCGCTGCAGGATGGACCTCGCTGCAGATTCGTGTCATGACGTCCCAACAACCATGGATGAGTCCACATGGTACTCCATTCGGCCAGGTGGACATCATACTACACCCACGATTGCTTACAACCCTGGTATCTTGACTCACATGGTCAATCTTGTGAGCCACTTCACCGCGATTCAGGACCTCAACCGTCAGATCGCCATAGGCGGCTTGACTACCGCTGAGATTGAGAAACGCATCGCAGATCTCGCAGATAAATTACAATACTGGCACTCTAGTCTTCCCTCCGATCTACAGATGACAGTTCAGAACCTGGGTGACAAACTGCAAAAGGACCTGGCCAGAGATTTTGCGGTCCTGCACCTGACGTACCACCACTTTTCGACACTTCTACATTTTAACTTCCTCGAGAGCTATCAAGGAAAGGCCGACTCGTCGCCTCAACACAAGCATGTCGAGCTGTGCAAGCAACATGCCTCGTCATTCAGCAATCTCCTCCGCCTTTCTCACCAGATGGGCAGGTTCGTGGTAGAATATCCGATGATCGGGCACATGACGGTCGTCTCGTCGTCGGTACTAGTGCACACCCTGCTCTTCGGCGATGAAAAAGAGCTGCCCGATGTGCGCAAGAAGCTGGATTCGAATTTCAATATACTGGTGCAACTCCAACAGTGGTGGCCCTGTACAGAAGCAATGGTAGGTGTCTTTTTGTTTAAATCCATGAGATTTCTGGCTAACAGCGTGGAATGTAGATCAATAGGCTCAAGTTTTTCCAGAACGTATGCCTGTTGAGGTTCGATTCCTATAGACTTGATGGTTGGATGGTGAGATATCTTTTAGAACACTCACGTGCACTAGAGCGTCGAGAACTACAACCTGTGCCACCTAATATAGACGTGGGAAGTATGAATAAATCACCACGAGCTGAGCAACTTCTAGAAATAGGGAGATACACCGATTTTAGTGGGTTGTACTCTAGCTAGAAAGATATAATGAGACTACTTAAAAAGTTTTATAACCAGAGACTAGTTAAGGTGCAGGGCAAGATCGATTCAGGGGTTCTTCGTTTGAGAACCTAAAACGGCAATCCCCACGCCGAGTTTCGGCTTTCAGAAGTGGTCGTCCTATGGCCGACATTGATCCTCCCGTGTCCATAAACCTTGGGAAAACAGGTGAAAGTAATTGAACACCCGTATAGAACAGTTGCTGCCGTGCACTTCCATCTTCCGGGAGGTCCACAAGCATCGGATTCAGTCTAATTCTATCGTCAAAGAACTCAAGAAACATAATCAAGGTCACAATTCTGGGCGCGGGGTACGTTATCACCGTACACACACAATGAGGGCATGATTTTCAAACGCACGAAAAAAAGGGTCGGGCATGATGGATGAAGGCTCGCTCCGCCGCCACTATGATATGATAATCGTCGCCGAATACCTTCTTGGGGACTATGATACCAAAGAATGAACGAGTCTTTGGGCAGGCGCATTTTGGGTCGATGTTCACGATTCTGCCCTGCGAGAACAATCGTATGCGTTACCATAACTTGACCTTTGGAATAACTCAAATAGATGGAGGAGTCATAGCAAAATCGAGACTTCCCAAGCCGTACACAGAGGGTTAGATTTACGCCTAAGAAGAATTTAGCGGCTAGCGGAGAACGGCTGACATAGACTGCGAAGCACGTCATCGATGGTTTGAGTTGCCTTTAGTTTCAAGACAGAAAGCTCATAGTCACTCAGTCATAATATCGCAAGGAAATGTTATTTCAACCATTGATCTGGCATAGTTGACTGTCTAATGATTGATATCGACCGCGCCCCCATCACAACTAACTATGCATCCCAACCCTTGGCGAATGCCGGAAATCCGGCCGACGTCTGTTTGCTGACCCATTCCAAGTACGGTCTAAGACCAGCGAAGTAGAAGTTCGTGTTCGGCTTGCGACCTGGAATATTTCGACTAAAAATCCAAGACGGGCTTTTGAGAAAAACTGATCCTTGCACCAGACTGTCGCACAAGTCTGCCCAATCCTGTTCAGCCTCTTCGGAGACCTCTATGGTTGCAGGCCTGGTTCTGGATGTACCATTGGTACCATTGGCCTCGCCGTTGGTAATGCCATTGGGAGTGGCCTTGCGACCAGAGTCCAGAGCTTCCGCATGTTCAATGAGAGACATGATGAAATTCGTCTCACTCTCGATGACCGGTGGAAAGTTGGCGAACGGGCCTTGGGGGCCTGCGATCAGGAACATGTTGGGAAAGCCTGAGCAGGCGATTGATCCATAGGCTTTGAGGCCGTCTCTCCAATGGTCCTTCAACGTCTTTCCATCCCAGCCGGCAATGCACACCCTTGAGTAACTTCCCTCAATGGCGTCAAAGCCTGTAGCGAAGATCAGGACGTCCATATCATGAAGCTCGCCGTCGTCGAGCTCAATGCCAGTCTTGGTAATTTGCTTGATCGGATTGGCTTGGATGTCAATGACGTCGACGTTGTCTCGATTAAAGATCTCGTAGTACCCAGAGTCGCACATCGGGCGGCGGGCATATAGCTCCTTGGGCTTAAGAGTGCTGGCCTTGGCTGGATCCTTCACGATCTGGTCAATCTTCCCGCGAATGAAGTTGCACGCCTCCTCGTTGGCTGCTTCGTCGGTAGTAAGGTCGCCGAAGGCGCTGAACATGAAGCGAAACCCGTTACCCTTTGACCAGACCTCGTCGAATGCCTCCTTTCTCTCCTGAGGGGAAGCTTCCATGGTCCTGCGGGTCGACTCCGGGACGCCAAAGTCGACTGTTGATGACCAGACGTTGTCCCAAATCTTATCGTAGTCTTCGTTGACCTTCTTGCGGTAGTCGGCTGCGATTGGGCCTTGGCCGCTCGGTACGGAGTATTGCGGATGACGTTGGAAAGAAGCGAGGTGGCCAACCTTCGGCGCGATGGCTGTCATTACTTGAACACCGGTCGAACCGTTGCCGATGATACCGACACGCTTTCCATCCAGTTGAACGGCATCATCCCACTTCGAGGTATGCAACAGCGATCCCTGAAAATTGGGTAGGCCCGGAATGTCGGGATAGTTGGCCTTCGAGAGGATGCCGAGAGAATTGACCAAGTATCTTGCGTGATAGACCTCTCCAGTGGAGCAGGCAACATGCCAGCGGCGACTGACGTCGTCCCAAGCCGCTGAATCCATCTCACAGTTGAACTTCATGTACTTCCGCAAGCCGTGCTTTTTGACGATGTGTTGCAGATACTCAAGAATCTCGGGCTGGTAAACATCATGGTGCGTCCATGGATACGTTTGAAGGTCGTCCTTGTCCCAAGAGTATCGGTACAGGTAGGTTTCTGTGTCGCTCATTGCACCTGGATAACGATTCCAGTACCAAGTCCCGCCAACGTCAGATGCCATGTCAATGGTTTGAACGTTCATGTGCATATCGGCAAGACGGTATGTGGCATAGATCCCGCCAACGCCGGCGCCTACAACAAGGGCGTCGACCTCAATGATCTGTGTCATGACGGTAAGAACTTAGAAGAGTAAAAATTCGATGCGGAAGAAGTGACTCCTGTGTGATTGCGTGGGCTGAGGTCTTGAAGACGAGAGACATCTCCGTGTCCGCGCGTGTTCTTCAAGATATCGAGCTCTCGGGTGAAGAATGAAAGTAAAAAGGGTAAGCTGCATGCGACATTTCCCAGCCTCGAGGACTGACGTTCACATGCGATAAAGGCCGCGCACCGCCCCATGACCCCTGGTTACACGCCAATCTGGGGATCTTCCGGAACGGTGCATTAATGTGTTGCACTCAATTCCAGATACCGTAATTGAAAGGCATCCGAGATGTGGATTACTACTTGAACAAGACGCGCTTGCATTGTGGGGGTACAAGCTTCCAATTTTGCTGTTCAGCCGACCACGCTCCGCCGCGTCATTGGAGAGAGCCCCTCATTGGACCGGCAGAATCATCCGATATGCGAAGTATCTCAATTTTGGCAATTCAAATGAGCCGGCAATCTTTTCCGCCGGAAGATAATGTCCGGCCTTGGCCTTGGTCACGGGGAACAAACGGACAGCATATCTGCACGCACGCTCAAAGTGGGCTGCGCAGCTTACACTTTTGCTGTTTCGGGAACAGACGCGATGTGTATGATAGATCAGCCTTACTCAAACCATCACTCATACGACGGCTCAGCCGATTCAAGGTGTGGAGATGATTTCCAGGGCAAATCAAGGCTGAGTGTCATGTAGGAGGGTCTCCAGGGTGAATCAGTACTCATAGACCACAAAATCACTCATTATATATCAATTAGATGTCTCCTAAGGTTTCTTCCTTCTGCATCAAAACTTTGACTGTCCAAACATTAATCTCCCAGAACCCGTATTTTATTCAGTGAGTACTTTTCACGATGTGATGCTCTTCAGCTAACACCTTCTCTAAGAAAATACAATTAACTGAAATAAATGTCACAACACAATACAATTCACGGGGCTTGGAACTCGTTTGATTGGGTTCCATTCCCAGAGTACGACGGGAAGAAGTCTGTAGTCTACCGACCAGACGATGGCCAGACCGTGGCGGGAGCTGCGCACGAGAAGGGAAAGGCGACGCTGGTTTACCCTTGCGATGAGTTCTTCTTCGTAACAGAAGGAAACATCAAATGTGATGTCGAAAATGGGGACACTTTCACAGCTAAGAAGGGAGATGTCGTCTACTTTACCCGCGGGACAATGGTCAATTTCGAGACCTAACAGCTGTGGCTTCCGGTTGGCTGGCGGAGCCATTGAGACGTGCTGTTTTAATCTTTTATCTCCCCTCCGCTATCCGATAGAGACGCCCGCGAAGGCAACACGCGAGATACGCTGGTGGGCACAATGCGGGGAAGTGAACCAACATTACGCTCCATAGCATTGCGATACTCGATAAATCATATCCGCTCAAACCTAAGAGCCTTAGATCTTTTGCTAGAACTTTGGGAGTTGCGAGATGCGGGGACCGTGATGTCTTGGCTAGATTTGATGTTGGAGAAAGGCTGGTCAATCATGATGGGCTGAGCCACACAAGGTTTTGACAAATGAGTTAGCGTTGGTAGACTTAAGTAATTCGCAGCAAATGCAGAATTATATTACCTCATTTGTCCCGTAGTCGAGACCCGGATCTGCTGATCTACACAGGAAATCAGCGTAGCTAGGGCTCCAGCCTGCAGTGTAGTAGGCCTGAATCCGCAACTAAGCAATGATTATTGCATGGCCGTAATTGTTACAAAATGCAGGAACGAGCCTCCCTCGGGACATTTCAATGTGATCACGGCAGTCTGATGACAAACTCCCGCTCCTGCACTTCTAATCAAATCCATTACATTACCCGGAGCGGACAGCAGGCGAGGTGGAGACTGCGGGCTCGGCGTTTTACCTACTACCACTCTTGGAAGCCACCCGAAAGCCTTTTATGATACATTGATACCACTGCTACGACTTCTGATGTTACGGAAACGGCCAGAGTCTTCAGCCCGTCAATAGGCAAGTGTAAAGACACCGAGCTCGACGTATTCTTGGTGCCCACGACGTCGTAGTACTGATACGATCAATCCAGCTCCAACATCCACCATCAAAGTGACCACAAACCTCGTCCAGGAAGTCACAACGCCAAATGGCGTTACATACACGCAGGCACTTGGTCTTTTTATCAATAACGAGTGGGTTGCAGTCAAATCTGGTGAGGAAATTACTGTTATTAGTCCCATGTAAGTCCCTCCCTTCAGAAGGGTAACGACGTGATAGGGCTGACTTGCTTCAAGCGATGAATCTCAGATCACCAAAGTCCATGCCGGTGGTGCTGATGATATAGACGTTGCTGTGAAGGCCGCGCGTGCTGCACTCAAGGGACCTTGGGCTGGTGTCTCTGGTATCGTGCTGAGACTTGCCGACTTGGCTGAACAACACACCAAAACGCTTGCCTCCATTGACACATGGAACAACGGTATGTTGAAGGGCTAATTTCTCAAACACTTAAGAACATAACAGCTGATAATGGCAGGAAAACGGTTTTCATCTGCATGTGGTGACGTAGGCGAGCTGACGGACGTCCTCCGGTACTATGCTGGCCTTGCTGACAAGCTCCACGGTCAAGGTACGGCAACATCTGTTTCTACGAGCTTTTTAGCTGGCCATTCAAAGTCATTGACACGGCGGACAAGAAGTTTGCGTACACTTCTCGAGAGCCTATGGGTGTCTGTGGTCAAATCATTCCTTGGAACTATCCCCTGGGAATGGCTGGCTGGAAAATCGCCCCCGCACTCGCGGCTGGAAATACCGTAGTCTTAAGCCAGCAGAGCAGACGCCTCTTTCCGTCCTACTCTTTGCAACCCTTATCCAACAAGCCGGATTTCCGGCCGGAGTTATCAACGTCGTGAAAGGTTATGGCCGCGCCGCAGGTGCCGCATTGGCTGCGCACGAGGATGTGGCTAAGATCGCCTTCACTGGATCAACTCAGACTGGCCGCGAGATTATGAAGCTCGCTTCCGCTACCCTTCAAAACATCACCCTTGAAACAGGAGGCAAATCGCCAGCCATCATCTTTGGTGATGCGGAGCTTGAGCAAGCCGTTAAGTGGTGTCGCTATGGGGTGATGGCTAACCAAGGTCAGATCTGTACGGCTACTAGCCGGATCTTGGTGCATGAAAGCATCCACGATAAGTTTGTGGATCTTTTCATTCAAGAAGTTCAGAAGACGTCGAAGGTCGGCGACCCTTTCAGCCTTGAGACCTTCCAAGGACCCCAGGTTAACAAGGCTCAATTTGATCGAGTCCTGGCAAACATCGCCTCCGGAAAGGAAGAAGGTGCCGAGTGCAAGCTCGGGGGTCAGCCTTACTCCTCGGCGACTGGAAAGGGACACTTCGTTGAGCCGACCGTTTTCACCGGTGTGAAGGACCACATGAAGATTTATCGAGAGGAGATCTTTGGCCCTTGCGTCGCAATCAGCTCCTTCTCCACCGAAGTTGAGGCTATTGACCGTGCCAATGATTCTTTCTATGGACTGGGTGCGGCGCTGTTCACCAGGGACATAACTCGAGCTCATGTCCTGGCGAACAAGATCGAGTCTGGAAGTAAGTTTGCTTCGCTCCTCAGATAACATTGACTGACGAAATCTACAGCGGTACGGATCAACAGTAGCAATGATTCTAATTATCGCATTCCTTTCGGTGGACTAAAGCAATCGGGTATTGGTAGGGAGCTAGGCGAAGCTGGTATTGCTGCTTACACCAACATCAAGGCGGTTCATGTGAACATGGGAAACCGGTTGTGAGCAGAGTATATTTATCGCCTAGATACTTGATCAGAAGGGTGATTTGAATACTATAAGTAGTGGTTTATACTGCCTCTGTCTCTAATCCAACTTGGTTCCCATCTACAGCGAGATATGAATGCACGGCCCTTGCGTGTCGATGAAAGACGAGAGGGGCTAGGTAATCATTTCTGGCACACTGTTCATGTACTCATGGATCAAAATATGTTGTACCTATCTGTCTCATGTCATTACTGGAATTCGTCATCATCTCTATTTCTCCTCAAATCCAACTGAGAAGTGATACGTCGTCTTGTGTATTGTAGTCTTAGTATCACGACTCCGAGAGATTCTCAGCCCTAACCTTGCGACTCCCTGTCCTTCTCATCTCCCTTCTTCCAACCCCCAAAAAGATTGTTTCTCACAGCACTGACGACTGACGACTTGTCTTCTTCAAGGTGTGCCTCATACGCGTCGATCTCAGGACGTTCCCAGACCAGATCCACCTCCTTGGCTGATACGATGCGCGTTCTCTTGATCAGCTTCCAGCCACAGTACGATACAGGCGCGAAGAGAATCATGGTATATCTAGTGAAGAATGTGGCAGCTGAGAATTCGCCGATAAAGGTCGTGTAGCCACTGCCAATCGCGATGCTGCAAAAAATGAACAAGGCTATCCAGGCGCTGTAGGGCTGGAACCAAGCACGATAGGGCAAACTCGTGCGATCTACGCCTTGAACCTCGCATGCCCTGTAGAAGCGCAGGTACACGATGCACATAACGATGAAGTTGACGAGGCCGCCGCTAGTCAGAATGTTGACCAACCAGTCCAATACGCTTGCGCCGCTGTTCGATAATTGTAATAACGATACGCAGGGAAATACCAGCGTAACTCCGAGACAGTAGATAGGTACACCACTCTTGGTGCACCGGGCCATGACTTTAGGGATATAGCCGTCCAGAGCAAGTCCATACAAATTTCGGCTGGCGCAGTACACGTACGTGTTACCGGCCACAAAAACACTCGAGAGGATCAGGGCATTGACCAGGTGAGGTAGGACTCCAACCCCTAGGTTTGTCATGGCGATAACGTACGGAGAAGCAGCACCGCTGCCACTCTCCTTCTCGCCGTTGACGATGGCTCTTAGTGTTGGGTCGTTAAAAGGTACCACGATCCCCACACAGATGGCGCCCCCCAAAAAGAAGTAAGCGAGACGGTAGTATGTGGCTTTGAAAGCCTTCTTGATGTTGACTCTGGGGCGGATCGCTTCGCCAGCGATCATGGAGATGTATTCGGGTCCGACGATCGGCAGTGGCGCAAAGAATAACGTGGCGAGAAAGCCTTCGAAACGTCCCAGGTTGCCAGTTGACCTCCATTCCGCAAAGGCGCCAGGATGTTTCCAGCATCGAAAGCCGTAGGCATCATGTTGTGGATTTCCACCAACCATTGTGACGAATGTGAAGCATGTCAAGATGATAATCAAGATGACCTTGCCGCTCGATAGCCAGAACTCGGACTCGCTGTAATACTCACGGCGCTGAGGTTTAAAGCACTAGACATCAGAAATCAGCGATTGCTCAGGGGATTGTGGCCCCATAGTTGATAGCAACTTACGCATAGATGACAATGCATGCTGCACAAACTGCAGCTACTGGGATATCATCGCGCTAGAGCTTGAGGATCGAATTGAGCGCCGTGATTTCGAACGGGATGGAAATGGCTTCGTAGAAAAAAGAAGTTGATGCCGGCCGCAAAGCCCAAAGCTTCGTCAACCCAGTTGCATGCCAAACGGACGAAGTCACCACTAACGGGCATAAAAACTGTCATTTCGGCAATGCAGTTGTTAACCAGTGTAATAACGCAGAAGTAGGTGAAGAAGGACAGAAGGAGGCTACCAGGCTCGGCCTTGAAAAGAGCGGTTCCGATCGAGATGAAAAGGGCTGTGCCGATGGAGCCTCCGATGGTAAATAGTTGAATCTGGCGACCTCCCACGCGGCGATGAAGGCCTCCAGTTTGTTGTTGCTGCAAGACTTGACCTTCGTAGGCCGATGGTGTAGGCGTCATCGCCAGCTTCTTCTCATCATTGCCAGTATCCATTGTCGTTTGAGTAACTAAAATCGTGAATATGTTTGGTGGGCCTCGGATGATTTCCCGCTCTGGTAGATGTTCGAAAAGTGGTACGATTCTAGGTGATTTTATATCTCAATTTGATATTATATCTCTTCTAGCCTTAAGATGTTCTTGGGCCTTCTTGGCCTTTGCACTTGGAGAAACCCTTGCGTGGCTATGGGCGAGGTGTGCGCTTTCGCGTACTGGCCGAAAAAGGCAATTAGCTACGATAAGCCTGAATTGCCGAGCAACGCCAAGCAGGATCCCACTTGAGGCATTCGCGCAATTGGCGTAACCAGCGAGGCAATCCAGATAGTTCATGGTGTTTTTCAATGATTTAAGATATAGCATTGCTATGTCTTCACGGGATGAGTAGAGGTCAAGGTTCGGGAATGAGGCCGAGTGAAAATATCTACAGAACAAAAGGCAGATACGTGACGATGGCGATAGGGATGGTCTTCAGTAAGAGATCATTGCTACCCCGGCTCTATCGCTGCTCTGAAGTTGGGCTTGGGCTTGCGATTTCAACCTTTTATGCTTTTGCCAAACGGTCTTAGGATAGTACCATCATCATTCTTCTCGCCGTCGCAGTTACGTTTACTCTTCTCTTGGCTGGCTCACAAGACTCCCAGCTCAGCAAGACAGTAGGCATTACGTCGAATACTACGACGGATCTCAGAAACATAGACATTTGTAGATTTTGAGTGTGCTGAGTAGGCTATTCTATGCCCCCATGTAGAGCAGCTCCTTATGTGTGGCCGCGACTAGTAGTGTGCGAAAATCATCAAAATTGATCAGACCTGACCCAAAGAACCGAAGCCCCTATGCTTGCGATTTGGGAAGGAATGCACCCACTTCGATTTCAAGATGCAACTCAGGCCGCAGAAGCTTGAAAACATCGACGCCAGTAAAGAGCGGTCGGTTTTTCCCAAAGTACTACAACAAGACACCGTGCAGGGTGAGGCCAAATCCGGCATCGGTATTGGCGTGATACGTCCTCACCTATACCAAATCTCAGTAATAGTCGAATGAATGTCACAAAATCAGTGCCGTCTCGAGGTACATTACCTTGTATACACAAGACCAGACCTCCTCGCTTGAGCCCGTGAGACCAGCTTCACGGAGGGAGAGCTCGATGTGAGAAAACGCTTCGCGTATCTCCTCGGTCAAATCAAAAGGAACTGTGCCGTCACTTCTGATCTCAGCTTGGCCAACGACATGGATAATCGAGGCGCTAGAGGGGATGACGCAAGCGTGTGTCATTTTGAGGGACTCGGAAATCTCCTCTCCAGCACCGGGCCAGTTGAAGAACCGAACTCCGCTGGCAGAGACAGGCGTTTGAGGGATAAATTCGGGCATGGTGAGACGTTGCTGAGTTTGTAAAGGATATTGGTAGCTAATCTCGTGGGATTCGATGCGACACCTCTGTCTTATATATCAAGCCGTTTCCACGCACCAAGACAGCTTATGTGCATCAACATTCGAGTCGGTGTAGCATTGGTCAGCGGACCTGCCAGGTAGTCATTTGCATAGACGCAACTTGATTTATCAGCTGGCGGATAAGATTCACCAATGTGGTGCTGCTGGGGCAGCATACCTCTACGGAAACTAAGTTCCAGAGTATCCATGGGTGAATGGGAAACTTACTCAGGTGAGTGTGATGGAAGCTACATCAAACTGTGACAACCATATTTGTAGCTTTTGAGTACGATCCGCGTATTGCTAAACCATGCATTGGAAATTATTATGATATGGGCCGTGGAGGTGAGTGTGAATGATTTGACGCTGGAAATAAACTGGAGGGAAACTTCGAAGCTGCTGCAATAGTTAGGGTTGACGGATGAGCTAACACTAAGTCGCTGGCATCTTTGGCTGGACGGAGGCTCTTGACTGCCGGCAACAAAGTGAAGCACTTCCTGTATTTATGGAGATTCAATTTGATCGTTCCTCTCGCGATCGAAAGAATCTTCGGATAGCAGACTAGTACACTGATGGAGTTTGATGCACAGTCCATTAACCCCAGTTCGTGGTTTCACTTCCTGTGGACCTCGGCAAATCACTATCATCCGTGACTTGATACAGGGTACGTGATAATAGAGGTGAAGGCATTTACAGACAAAGCAACAAACCCTGACGAGTGTATAGACTGAAATGCGAGCATGGTGTGTTTATCTATCGGCCAGGCCAATTATGACTGATGGCCAAGTTATGCGTTCAAAACAGACGGAACAACGTCTCGCAGACCATTGGCCGACCCCCTCGACACCAAGTAGTTTATTATCCACCTTGTCGAATTTCCCACCGTAGCCCTCACCAAATATAGCCCTGAACAAGAACTTGGAGATGACGCCAATATCCATCTGGCCAGATTTCAGACCAGAAAGAGCCTCCTGCTCCTCGGCTGCGGTTTGGGATTCTTGAATGGTTCAAGTGCCCGAAGGATCAATCTCCTTGGCAACCGAGATGATTTGGCTTTGCGTGACATCAAGGTCTTTGACGTAAACAGCCCTGTTGGCAGTCTCAACAGGATGAGACAAAACCCCAACCACGGCCTGGCCAACCGTAGATAGTCGAGAAGCACTGAATAGCACATTGCCGCCGTCTCGCAACACGGCCTTTTTTGTTCTTGATGTCAACCAGCATGCCCGTCGACAAGCCCCAGTCCAAGAAGGGACCACAGAAGAGAAGACTGCATGTGAATGCCGGGCTGGATTGGGCCTTCGCTCTCAGATATTCCTGAAGCTGTAGCTTAGCGCTAAAGATCGGGATCGTCTGGACCTTGGGGTTTTCAGTGCTGCTACCGAACTCCAACGGCAAGAATCGCTTGACGCCGGAGGCAACAGACGGATCGACCAATGCCTCCTGCGCGTCTGAGCCGAAGACAGAGAGCGTCGAAAGAACAGCATCTTGTCCACGAACAGCTTCAGCCAACAAAGCAGGGTTGTCATAGTCGACGTACTTGACTGTAACGTCGGCAGGGAACTGGTGCGACGACCCAGTTCTCTTCAAAACAGTGACATCGAATCGCTTGGAAGAGCGAAGTGCGGTCAAGATAGCTGGTCCAAGATTGCCGGTGGCCTGAGTTGGATTGTCAGTGATTTGGCTATGCTAAGAGAGATCCGAGTTTTGAATATGTCGAGTTTCAACTTACACCAGCGATAGCGACCCGACGGATGGAAATCGTAGGAAGACGAAGATACGGATAGGTCGGAAAAGTTTGGGGTGAATGGAGTTGTACAAATCTCGAATGATACTGATTACTGTTCAAAAAGGTATGAAGTTATTTGCAGAAGGATCCTTTTAAGTATGTGACACAAAGACAGAGCCGTTGCTAGTGGCAATGCTCACTATTCCATCTGCGTGCCTTTCGGATGGTACTAAGACGTGTGGATGTTACATTCACGGCCAATGCGGTCGACGCTCCGCTCCCGTACCTCTTTCCTTTCGCTTCTCGAGCTCAGAGATATCATGTAAGCTGAAAATGTTTCCTTGATAGGGTCTGAATCCATCAGCAGTAAATGGGACGGAAGCATTTCTTACAAACATCCTGCCATCCGAGCCTGACAGGGTGAGGCAGCGGGCAAACGGATATGACAAACCTTCCTGGGTGGCAGAAGTTGAAATTGTGAGTTGACAATTAGTTGGTGGGGTTCGGGCCTCAATTAGAGTCCGCAAGAGCAACAGAAGTGGGATACGTCGACCATCGAAACAAAATTGCTGAGAAAAACAGCATGTAAAACTTGTGCAATGGGGTGAATGTCCAATGGATGTCTCCAACGCCATCCTGGACTTTCCGGATGGGGAGTGGGGCTCTGGGCCAGAATCGAGCCGGTGGGATACTTTCTCTGTCACGCCTTACGCCCTTCGTGTCAGTCTAGAGCCGAGCCCAACTTCTGTTGGAAACAACGACACCTCGGCCCCTTTCGCAGGTTTGGTAGCTAAGCTTCTCGTGTCTGAAGTATCCCGTGCACCGGATTGAATACACTGCTCACTGTAAGTTCGTAAGTCATTGTCATTCATTTTCCTCACTGAAGATCGTGCCAGGTCACTTTTGGTTTCACGTGTCTGAACCTCTCTCTGCAATTCTATCAGATGATCCGGCAGTGATGGACGCCGACTTCGATCTGAATGAATTTTTCAACCTCAGTTATTTTGAGGATGCGTCTGAGACTAGTCCCTATGAAACCTCCATTTTGCAAGGAGACACGGCACATGATGTATCAGGCGATAAAACCTCACCTCAACGACAGCCCAATCCTCGTGCAGGCCGTTGTACAGGTGTCACAAATACTCTTTCCTCAGAGACTTCCGGCACGCCCACAGGTGCTGGGTCTGAGCACCAACCTCTGGATGGTGCGGCCAAGTCCACAAGGAGTTCCAATCGCTTCTCTCTAGAATCAATTCGGATATTGCGGCAATGGTTGGCAGACCATAGCTCATATCCATATGCCACTCCCGAGGACATTGAAATGCTCCAAAGCGGAACAGGGCTGACCAAACTGCAACTGACTAATTGGCTTTCGAATGCTCGGCGGCGTTACAAGTTCAAGGCCCAATTGGGGTCGTCAGCATCGCGCGCATGGAAAGGGTCCGGGGACATCTCTTCACCAGTTTCGGCCATCGACGTCCCTCATCCTCGAACCAATCCGGTTCCTTTCGAGCTGATGAATCCACTTGAAAGATGGCAAAGCTCTCCGCCAGAGTACGAAGCCGCCAACGTAGCTGACATTTCGCGAATGGCCGCAGCAATTCCCACACGCCCACCTACCCCGTACTATCTTGGTGTCTCTGAAATCTCATCTAGCGACGCATCCTCGGTCAGCAGCGCGGGCGCATCTCGCTCTAGCTACGGGTCCGGTTCCTCATCGCAGTCGCGCAGCTTCCTCGATCTTCCCAACCTCCAGAATAATGTTCGGAGAAGACGGAAGAAGCTTTCTAGGCGATGGCCACTGCACAGTAACGACTTGCTTCAGACCTACCACCCGTATCAGTGCACATTCTGTATCGAGACTTTCAAAACCAAGTACGATTGGCATCGCCACGAGAAGACGGTGCATATTTGTCTCGATGAATGGGTCTGCTCGCCGTTGGGCCCTACTGAGCTGGATCCTGACCTGGGCGTGCAAGCTTGCGTCTATTGTGGTGCCCCAGAGCCCGATAAGCAGCACATAGAAACACATCATCACTCCTTGTGTCATGAAAGAGATCCCGTGTTCCGCACCTTTCGCCGCAAAGATCACCTAAGCCAACATCTTAAACTCGTACACGAATCGAACTTTTCGCCCTGGCGAATGGAGCAATGGAAGGCTGTCGGTCGAGAGATACGGTCTCGATGTGGGTTTTGTGACACCACTCTGGAATCTTGGACCAGCCGAATCGAACACCTTGCCGATCACTCCAAGGCGGGAAAGACTATGGCAGACTGGAAAGGAGACTGGGGCTTCGACCCCGAGGTTGCAGATACCGTGGAGAATGACATGCCACCATGTGAGTCAGCTACTGCCCATGTTGCTTTCGTGTCCACTTTCCAACATATTGACGTCCCGCCTCAGATCTGATACACTTGAGCGAAGCACGGCATGGCCGACCTCGTCCGTACGAGGGTCATCAGATACACCGACCAGTGCGTACGAACTCCTTAAGCTAGAACTGGAATATTCCATTCAAGGGTATCTGGCCAAAGATGGCTGTCTGCCTTCAGACAAGCAACTCCATCATGAAGCCTGCTTGATAATACTCGGGGCAGATGTGATATCTACTCAACCCGCCTCATCGAATCCATCCTGGTTGAGAGATATCTTTCTGTGCTCCGAAACGGCAATCGATGCTCGCCTTCTCCCACCCCAGCAGCTTTTTAGGTCACGCCTCACCCAGCTAAAGATTATTGGGAAGTGGAGCATATTCGATCAATGCCGCCTGGAGTTGGAGCTCCGTCGTATCGTCTTGACGCATAACAACAAATCGGCTGTCATGTCCGATGATGAGCTTCAAGAGGAAGCCGCAAGCATCCTCCAACGTGCCGAGGCTTGCTCGCCCAAGCCCTCGAAAAATTGCGCTGAATTCCTGGTTCGAGTGGTGCAAGAGTCGAAGCTGTGGATTGAGCCTTTCCGCGAACGGACCAGACAGCTGTTCAGCATCGGTGTTGAGAACGATGCTAGTAATATACCCGTCAATGCAACTGTGAATGATACACCGTTTACGGAGCAACAAATCGCCACCAATATTCACCATGGAAACTCCGTGGTGGCGGCAAGAGCAGCAAGTTTGTTGCTCACGAAGCAGTATACATCGCCAGAAACAGGTGGAACTTCAACATCCACATCGACCAGCATCCCCTCTTCTGATGTTGAGAAAAGAAACACAAGTCTCGACCGAATACCGGCCTTCACGATTGTGAACACAAACGGAAATACCGAGATACGTCAAGATATTCACGTACCATTCCTGCTCAACGACCACAACATCTATGCACGTCTCGCCGCCGGGCTCTCACGGTTTGTTGGAGCAACCATGTCACCCAACAACCCGAATAGACATACTCCTACTGACGATGAGCTTCGGTATCAGGCAAGATGGATGTGGTTTAATGAGTGAGTTCCGCCTGTGAAAATCTTCTGCTGCATTGGCCTCATGAAATACTCACCATGCTCTGTGTAATTGGGAACTTTGGACTGACAACTGTGCTATTCATACAGGGACGACCCCTGGAACCAAACGCCTGCAGATAATGATGAGTGGTTGCTTAGGTTCAAGCAAAGCGTTGGTATCATTTTGGTCAACCCAGAAGAAATGCTCTCATGAGAGCTGAATCTACACAATGTCTTACGGGCCCTCAAATATTCATCGCCTAAAGATTGGAAGTACTGTCAAGGACGGAGTTGACGTGTCTTAATTGTTCCAATGTTTAACATTGTGATAGTGGGGCCTCTAAAAAGGCAACTTGACGATCGGTAACCAAACAATCCGTCACAAGTTTCCTTCACGTCATGATGCCGTCCCTGTTTCGCCTCTCAATCTCGTCGATGTCCCGTTCTCATCGCTCTGTTGTAATCTTCCCTTCGTACTCAACGATTGATTGTCTTAGTCCCGATCTGCAGATTTAATAAATTGCAGCCTTTTCTCTGGCCGTCGGGCGTTGCTTATTGACCGTGTTGTTGCGCAATCCGCAGTCAGAGATAGCGGTCGCAAGTACTTAATGCTCAGCTCAATCAAAAAAGTCACAAGTTTGACTATATACCATCCATCGCCAGGATTCGCTGACGTACGGTCCATCTCCGTCTATAGCGCCTCCGTGGCCATGACTCAAAACATTTGTCAAAATTGTATGCAGCCATAGCTATTGGTATTTACTCCAGATAAAGCCACACGGATCTTTGATTGGCTTTTGCAATCCATTCCATGCCATGTCACACCTGATATCACCTTTACAACTCGGCTTTATTGTAGCAAACAGTTCCGCACCCGCAGTGGGTTCCCAGACCACAGCCCTAATCCACATCCGCTCTTATTATAAACGAACCCAGAAGAGTAGCATAAGTATCATCATAAACCATTCATTGCACCTCTTCTCGAGCACAGAATTGAGCTCGTGATGAAAGCAGATGAGACAAAAGACTTTTAAAGGTGTTCTCCGAAGGCACCTATGAGGAATGAATTGTGGTACCATCTTCTGTTTTTATGACCATGATATGTATCCCAAAAGGATTGGACTGTCACTCTGGTATGGCCAGATACTCGATTTGATCCATTCCCGTTGGGTTTGGAGACCAATATGCTCTCTGTAGATGGATCACAGACAGACCCTGGAAAAAGACTGGTTTTGCCCCAGTTTCGGTTGCACAATGGAGTTCGTTGTGCTTTAGGCTTTCCCTTCTGTCCACTTGCGCCCACTGCCAGTCACCAACATTTGAGCCCATGATAAATGGTGCCCAGCAATTTTAGCGATCATACTGAAGAGGTTAGCATTCTGGTATTTGTGGGCCTGAATGAAACTGACAATAACGCAGTCTTCGCATCTTGCACCGTATACGTAGACCCAGGCTGGACAGTCGACGCGAGGCTTGTATCTGTTGACGCAAGGGTAACGATCCATTTCCAAGTTTTCGTTTATTGTAGGAAGACGAGCAGCTACAGGCGTACAGTCGCTGGTATTGAGGATAAGGGGATATACTATGCCATCGCAAGGAACAAACGAAGCATACTCTCTGCCCACGAGCAATGATATATAAGTTTTCATGATGCGTTGAGTAACAAGCTGTCAGGATAGTTAGTAACATGCACGGGATGGGATGACTCGTTGTCTGAAGGCTTTCAGCTCATATTATCATCCCTCTAATACCTACGTATTACTTGATCCTGCCGGCAGTGTGCCGTAGTTATCATGGTCCATGAGACTGCTACCGTGCGGCACCCATCAATCCGCAGTCCGATGAACATACTAAACCCGAGGCTTTGGGACATCTCCTGAGGTCGTGGTCGCCTTACACTGTCAAGCTGAATAGTGGAGCCCGAGACAAGTAGGACCCGAGACATCATCGCATTCGAGTCAGTCTATTTGTCTGCAGTGGATGCATACTTACACAATGAAGGTAGTGGGCTGTCTGTATAGAGATTCCGAGCTGTGCAGTCGCAAATACAGGGAGCCTTCCGAAAAAACGGTGACCACTCGGAAATTCCGTTGGAATCTGAGGCCTTGCTGTCTGTAAACGTTTCGGGCGGCTTGCATTTAGGGTGGCAAGCCCTGAGCCCAATCGCGGCAAATGATGTACTCGGCAGTCATGGGTCGGGCATAGGCTGCGACGAAAACGTGCTGCTGCATGGAATCTGAATAATACATGGTAGTGTGACTTCGAGTGCTAAGGCACGTCAGATGTCTGAGTGACATTCGTGGTGGTCTGGGATCACGGAGCAGGGTCCGGCTCTAGTGAGCAACCATACACCAGGTGCAGATTCCGGAGCAGTGCCAAAATTTCAACATCATACAACGCAGAAAATCTCCGAGGGTTCTTCCGAAAGAATGGGGCCACCTTGATTCCGGTCCTGCAGGAGTTGTGCTGGCTGAAACCTACCTAGTACCGGAGGGAGCTCCGGCTATGTTGCTCAGCAAGCATCATATGTTGACATTTTAGACGCAAGGTGATATCGGCGTCCCCGAGTTCCAGCCCCTGTCCATGGTACGGTGTGGGTGCGCTAACCCTTCTTCTCAACGTCACCAATGCATGGCGCTCATGAAAAGACCAATCGCTCTTAAGATAAGCCTGCAACAGGGGATTGGGGGCTGCGGCCCGAACATTAGCTAGTCGTGTTACACATCTGCTTCTACATATTGTACCCAAGAAAATAAGAAATTCGTCGCTTCGTTGAGCGGTGTGTGCTACCTGTCTAATTAGGTAAGTCAAGCTTACATGATCTACTAATCGTCGCCATCAACATGACGCCTACATCCACAAGTGAATATAAGCTGGATGATTGGAATAGGAACGCGGTTTGAATGGACTGCATTTAAAATGAGGACTACGGATGCATTTGTCCAGCCAACTGTTCAGCCTAATCTCCCTCTCTGACTATGCGAATATCGCGCGAGGAGTTCGCATGTATGAGAAGGTCCCTAGATGTTTGACAGTTTTCTCGCCGTTTCACTCGCTGAAACACCTCAGCTGAATCTTAAGCCAGGTGAAAGAACATTGGCTGGAATCAATTAAATGAGAAACTTCGTGGCTTTCTGCAAAGCTTTAGGCACGAAGCGTGGCCAACAGGAAATGCATGGTGACACTGCAGGAACGAATGCCGAAACATTTTTTTCGCTACGTCTGTCCAAATAACTGGGTTATCATTCGCTGGAGGCCCTAGAACGTTTCAATCCCCTTGTTGATCAACACCATTTGAGAACATGGTTGGGACTGCCACATGCAAAGACTTGCATATCGGCTGACCTGATATTTGATATGCACGCTGCACGCGCGACTAGTGCGATGGTCTAGACCTTAATGTCAGCCGAAAGAGAGGCGCCGAAAATGCATCTCCGTTGCTACACGGATGGCCTATATGAAAGGCATCAATCGACGCCACTTTGCGCCAGGGCCAAACGCACCATACTCTACGCATAGATCCTGGCGTGCATCTCGCTCGGAAGATGTCTCTGACCTTAATCACTCTGGCTTGTTTTGCCAGCGGCGTCCCGAGACCTCACATCCCGAGACAGCGGATAGCTCTAAGCCTTGTGGGCTTAATTGTTGAGAAGAACTAGCTCTCGCGAGTACTGCAGCCCAGTTGCGTCTGCCGAGAGTGTCCTCGTTCTAGCAGTCGTGGAGGTTTTAGGCAGACGTCTGTTAAACTTGGTCACATTCAGAACTAGGTACACAATGAGTAATTTGAAAGATAATGATCTCTGGCCTTAGGCCATATATTTCAATTCAACCTAGTATCAGTCACGACCAGTATTAGTATGACTTTAGTACAAAAGCATCAACGAAACTAAACGAAATATCATCTCCAACGAGAGAACTCGGAGATTTGTGCTCATCGGCAGACAAGACATGCTTCTTTTAGATGTTGGCCTCCAGCCTTTTGTCTGACAGATCAGATGAGACGGCATGCGTCATCATCTGAGCTTGACATGACACTTTAAGCATTCATAGGAGATGATTTGTATGTTGACATGACTGTTATCGTGGAAGGAACATGAGAGTGTATTCATTATCGTGAGGCCCTAGTCATGACGTATTCTAACACGAACTCCTTTGCTATCAGGTCGGAGACCTGGTGTAACGTAGTCTGCGTGCATACGAACGTCGTCAGTTCTGGTCTCGAACAGCTCCAACGTCGGACCGTCTTGCGATTTGAGCCTTGGGTCGTAAATTCTATACCTGCGGAAGATTCCTGCCGTAAATGTCTGCAGCTCTTGATACGCAAGATTCATACCCAGGCACTGACGTCCGCCCTTGCCAAATGTGAGATGTTTCTTGAAGAGCTTGGGGTCATTGATGTATCGATCTGGGTTGAAAACGTGGGGTTCGGTAAACCAGGCGGGATGTTTACTCAGGAGCGGTGCCGTCATTCCCACCATTGCGCCAGCTGGGAGCACTAGAGTTCGTCCATCGGAATACTCAAATATCAAGTCTTCATCGGGGGCCACACGGTCCTGGCGATGCGTAGCACTGGGATACATCCGCAGAGCTTCCTCGATTGTTACGTTTAGATAAGAGAGGCTGTCGAGTTTGACTGGATCTGGAGACTGATTCGCATCCGGCATGACGGATTCCAGCTCTTTTCTGATTTGCAGAAATATGGATTCGTCACTCAAGATATGAAACACGAGGGATGATAGAGTCATTGCGGTGGTGTCGGACCCCGCAATCGCGAGCACCATGGCATTATCTACTAGTCGCGGCGTGGACTTTTCCGACTCGGGAACATCGCTCTCCAAAATCACGTGGAATATCGTCTTCCCCTCATAATCATCCTTTGACCCTCGGATGGTTTCAATTTTGACAGTAAGATCCTACGCCGCATCAGTATCCGCTCAGGCCACGATTTGTTCGCTCAAAGACCTGTGGCACCTACCTCGACAAAGGCGACGAATGCCTGGATATATGGGGCCAAAATCACGAGAATCCTCGGGGGCAGGCTCTGGAAAGCCATGGCGATGGTGTGGAAATGCACACTGAAATGCGTCATCCTTCCTGGCGTCAATACCTCGAAAAACGCAGCGTTGCAATACTCCATAAGCAAGCACATTTCGCCCTCGCCTAAAGCATACGACTGAATGACATCTTTTGTTGCAGGTCGGCTTGCCGGGTCAA